GAAGAGTCATGGCTCTACCGCGGGGCGGGGGGGGGGTGGTGGTTTCTGCCCTTTCCTCCCAGGTGTGAGGATGGCATTCATTCAGGCAAATCCTTGGACGATTCCTCATTTTCACAAGAGCATGTAGAACCTTCTCTTATCTCACCACTTGCCTGGAGAGTCTGACCGGTCAGTATTTAACAGACAACATTGTCACAACACATTTCAAGCTCAACACATCATTTCATGCTACGCATCAAAAACACAGCAAAAAGTGAACACTGGTTGCTTCTGGAGAGGGGAACTGGGAGCCTGGGTGGGAAAGAAATGTATTTTTCACTGTATATTCTTTTGTACTTTTTGAATTTTGAGCCCCAGGCATATACAATCCACTTGAAACAGAAATCAACTTGATAAAAAACTAAGCAGGGAGAAGCAATGATTAGAGAGGCTAGGGAATAATGCCTTTCAAGCCTCTAGAGAGTTGAAATGTCCTCTGGATTAGAGTAGCCTGGCAGAGCTGGTATTTGGCCCCCAGCCGAATGGTTGTTGTGCTACTCAGGAATGCTGTTGAGGACATTATTATATCACACCGATGTCTCCTTTGTGAAACCCCATTCTTGCCTGTCATAATCTGAAGAACAGTTGGTTTGTGTTGACTTTCTGGACAGTGAATTATGTAACTCACTGGGCAGGTCTTGGATGAGCAGACAGGATGACTGGCAGCTTGGGCACTGCTGAGCTAAGGGCAGGGGCAGGTGTGAACATGGCGTGAGAGGGACAGTGAGGAAACTAACCTCGACCTGGCTGGGGGAGGTCTGAGTAGGAAAGGTTCCCTCTCCGGGTAGACTCACCATGAAGAAACCGGCAGCCTGGGATGCCTTAGACCTCTAGGCATTGTCGAGTTGCCCCTGAACTGTTCCATGAAGGCTGTTACTAGGGTGCTCCAGGGAACTCTCCATTCCCTGCCCCTTCCTGCAGCCTGAGGCTGCTTCCCAGGCTGGCTGTGAGCCCAAGATCCCTGGAGAGGGACACTTAGGGGGCACCTTCCACAAAGGGGTAGATGGGGTATAAACACCTACAGGGATATAGTAGTGCCTGAAGTCAAAGAAGGGTGCCTTCCATAGGTCCACTCAAAGGGAAAAAAAAGTGATGGAGGGTCTTCATTAAATATGGGTCAGCATCTCCCAGGCCCTAATGAGCCCACTCCTATTCATTCCAGCACCTGACCATTGCATGTCTGGATTCTTTGAGCCCACTCTTTTATCCTCTGAAGAACATACAATCGGCTTTGGGGCCACAAAAGGTTTAGGTGGGGGCTTAGGGTCTTTAATCCCAAACTCTGTCCTTAGGCGGCTTAGGATCAGTACTGGTCTTTCAGGGAGCTCCAAAGTGGCTTTGGAGGAGAGGTTCTTTGGCAGGGTCGGGGGAAAGTGGTGGCGGGAGGATGATCTATAAGAGGAATCAGAGCGGGTGGCGGACATCCCATGAGCAAGATGTCAGAGGAGGAAGAGATTTTTCTGTTCAAGAACATCTCCTCGGTGGGGCCGTGGGATGGGCCTCAGTACCGCCTCGCCCCTGTCTGGGCCTTCCACCTCCAGGCAGCCTTCACGGGCTTTGTCTTCGCTGTAGGGACGCCACTCAATGCCACAGTGCTGGTGGCCACACTGCGCTACAGAAAGTTGCGGCAGCCACTCAACTACATTCTGGTCAATGTATCCCCGGGGGGCTTCATCTACTGCATCTTCTCTGTCTTTGTCGTCTTCATCACCAGCTGTCATGGATACTTTGTCTTCGGCCACCATGTTTGTGCTCTGGGGGCCTTCCTGGGCTGTACAGCAGGTATTGCAGGAGAAGGGGGCTGGGGGGAGGCAAAGGACACTGCTCCATGATTGGAACCAGGGGCCAGGCTGTCGGGTGACAGCGGGCCCCAAAGAGGAGTCTGGGGGATAGAAGTTTGGTGCTCTTTTGAACACTGAGATATAAAGCCACCCAGGCTAGAAGTTTGACCGAATCCCAAATTCTACTTTACTCACCACTCCAACCTTCCCTCCCTGTGCTTTCTCCACCCCATCTGTATTCCACTCTGCCTGCCAGGGTAAGTAGGGCTGTTTACCCTCACGTTTCATCACACGTGTGGTGACAGGCTGGTCACTGGCCTTCTTGGTCTTTGAGCGCTAGCTACATCATCATCTGTAAGCCCTTCGGCAACTTCCGCTTCAGCTCCAAGCACGCACTGATGGTGGTACTGGCCACCTGGATCATTGGTATTGGTGTCTCCATCCCACCCTTCTTTGGCTGGAGCCGGTGAGAGTGCGGGGCCGCTGTGCTGACTTAGCAAGAAGCTCAGGTTGCGAGGGCGGGAAGAGAACTGGGTATAGCCTTTGACCTCTAATTTTTAAAGAGCTGGTGGAATAAATAAGGGAAAGGGCTGTGGGAGACAAGTGCTAAAGTTCACCCTGCAGTTCCAGTTGCTAAAGGCTCGCTGGTGAGGACAGAAAATACCCACTGCCTGAAGTCATTCTGGGTTCTAAGTGGAGAACACAACCCAAGAATCTCATCTCCCTCTCTACTAACTGAGCCTCGCAGGGAGCAAGTGCTTGGTCCCTTGCAGGTTCGTCCCCGAGGGTCTTCAGTGTTCCTGCACCGTGGGCACCAAATATTACAGCGAGTACTACACCTGGTTTCTCTTCATTTTCTGCTACATTGTGCCTCTCTCCCTCATCTGCTTCTCCTACTCTCAGCTGCTGGGGGTCTTCAGAGCTGTGAGTGCCTTTCGTGAGGGTCAGGGAGGAAGGGATCACAAGGCTCTAGGTGAGAGAGAAGAGCGGGTAAGTGCTCTAGAACATAAAACATTTGGAAACGTCCACAGTCAGGCAGAGGGGTATCAAAAAGCAGTGAAGGAAGTGGGGACAGGGAGATGGTGAAATGGAATGAAGAATAAGGCAGAGGCATCCCTGCTCAGGTATATCAAGAGACGCATGTGATCTTTTCCATTGTCACAGACCAGAGAGCTGCCTCCATCTTGCCTTCCTCAAGGAGGGGGAAACAGAGGGACTACGCCAAAAGCTGGGACAGCAGAGAGACAATAAGAGTAGATGGCCCCCTAGTTGAAGAGTCCAGAGATCTGGGAGTTCAGGGCCAGGGATAAGAGGGTGTGATGTTTTCTGAGCTCTTTCCAGGTTGCAGCTCAGCAGCAGGAGTCAGCTACAACCCAGAAGGCTAGGCGGGAGGTGAGCCACATGGTGGTGATGATGGTGGGATCCTTCTGTCTCTGTTACATGCCCTATGCTGCCCTGGCCACGTATATAGCCAACAAACGTAACCACGGGGTGGACTTACGGTTTGTCACCATTCCTGCCTTCTTCCCCAAGAGTGCTTGGCGTCTACAATCCCATCATCTACTGCTTCATGAATAAGCAGGTAAAGCTCTCTATTTATATTCCTAAGACCTGGTTCTTCTCAACGACTTTTAACTCCAAGCACCTGGGACTCCACTCAAAGGGTTTCTAGGGGTCAACAGGGAAGGCATGGAAACCCTTAGCAGGCTAGAAAGCACTTGGTAAGTAAGTACAGGGATGAAGGCGTGGTCATCCAGACAAGATCACAGAACCCAGGGAAGACAACTTGAGCCATAAAATTCGAGTTGCTCCAAAGGGCAAGATGAGAAGTGAAAAGGCTTTCCGTTTCACTGAAAAACTGATAGATCAACAGTGCCCCTAAATTTCCATTTCACGAGTTCTTAATCCTTTCCAACTTCTAGTCTGCACGACCATTTATGTGAAACACAGAAATCACAACACATGCATAAGTTTCTAAAACAGCTTATCATCTGAAGGTACCAGGCGGCTTCCTATCCCAAATCCTGAATCTAAGCTAATAACCCAAACTCAGACAAATCAAGGAGGGTTCCTGTCTTGTACAGCTAACACTCTGCTTTGAGAACTGTTATTTTGTTTCCTCAATTCCAGAGATGGATTCAAAACTAATGTGAAACCTCCTGGACAGAAACAGAATTGGCAGTCCTTCCCCAGTTGGGAGCGCTTTCAAGTAATGGTGGGGTGGGTGGGCGGGGCTATTCTGGGGTCACTTTTGACAGTGCTCTTATGGGGCAGGGTGGTTTGTGAGGTTTTCCAACAGTGAAATTCTACACATTCTCAGAGTTAGCCAGAATGTGTAGGGATTATCACTGTAGACCCAGGAGTAGTGAGTAGTCTTAGCCTGGAATACAGCTAGCTCTCAGTATTGGGAAGATATAATCAAAACCACCTGAGGAGATCCTGTGTATAAGGCATTGTGCAAAGCTTTGAGGATACAAAGAATGAGATCTTTTTTTCCCTATGCTTCCTGATGTTATCTCCTCTGTACTGGTCTACCAAGGGGACTATCTCCAATTCTGCTCTTTCCTCCAGTTCCAAGCTTGCATCATGGAGATGGTGTGTGGAAGGCCCATGACAGATGAGTCTGACATGTCTAGCTCCCAGAAAATGGAAGTTTCTACCGTCTCTTCTAGCCAAGTTGGCCCCAACTAAGGAGCCATACTGGCCTGTTTGCAGCAATAAGGATTTTACATTTAAGGAAATTTCTACTTTCTACCTTGCCTGTCAAAAACCAAACTACTACAACACAGAAAATGGGAAGGGGAGTGATAGCAATTTGAGGTCAATTTTCCATTTTCCTACTATTTCCTTCCTACCTACACAAAGCTACTGTTCCAGCTGGGTCTACTTCAGACCACCCCAAAGGCCATTTCAACAATCATCAGTTTCTACTCTTTTTTTTATTTTTTATTTTTTTTTATTTTTTGTGGTACGCGGGCCTCTTGCTGTTGTGGCCTCTCCCGTTGCGGAGCACAGGCTCCGGACGCGCAGGCTCAGTGGCCATGGCTCACGGGCCTAGCCGCTCCGTGGCATGTGGGATCTTCCCAGACCGGGGCACGAACCCGTGTCCCCTGCATCGGCAGGCGGACTCCCAACCACTGCGCCAACAGGGAAGCCCAGTTTCTACTCTTAAGTGGCAGAATTTACAGCACTTGGAGAACAGATTTCTACATACAAGGCAACTGTAAAGCAGTCTGGCTGATGATTTTTCAGTGTGTACACAACAATTATTTTCCTTTTTAGTAACATTTTTTCCCTACTGGGGATCTGTTCAAAGATGATACGTTTTGAATTAAAACAGACTTATGGAAACACTTTAGAAATGGGAGAGACATTAAAAAAAAAAACCTTTAGAGTTTCCCTGGTGGCGCAGTGGTTTAAGAATCCGCCAGCCAATGCAGGGGACAGGGGTTTGAGTCCTGGTCCGGGAAGATCCCACATGCCGCAGAGCAACTAAGTTTGTGCGCCACAACTACTGAGCCTGTGCTCTAGAGCCCGCGAGCCTAGAGCCCGTGCTCCACAACAAGAGAAGCCACCGCAGTGAGAAGCCCACGCACCACAACAAAGAGTAGGCACCGCTCACCGCAACTAGAGAAAGCCCAAGCAGAGCAACGAAGACCTAATGCAGCCAAAAATAAATAAATTAAATTAAAAAAAAAAACAAAACCTTAAAAAAACCCTTTAGTAGGTCCCAAATGAATTTGAAAGAACTTTCTTATGCTGTCACTGCCAGTAATTGCTATCACTTTGGCTGGGACAGCCATGCCCACAAACCCCTGTACCAGCATGAATATTCCAGGTGCTTCCTTTTCCCCCACACCTCCTATCTGGCTAAACCTATATATCTGTCTTAAGCTGTGTGTTTACTAAAGTTAATAGTTTAATTCCCTTCATGTTCTCAAAATGAATTTGCACATCTAATACCATTTATAAACTATACAAAATGTTCAAAAACTGTTTTACCTTATACTCCCTCTCCCCACCCCCTGAAGAAGAGACTTTTTGAAATAAAAATCAAGATAAATGTGTGTACATTCAGAAATGGCTTGTGTTTGGTATCAGGCAATTATGTAATGAGCAGCTGGGCTCCTCTCCAGTTATATGGCCTAAGGGAAGCAGAGAAGGGTTACAGCTGTAGAAGGATGCTAGAAGATTTCAGGAATAGGAAGAAAAGAGTAACCAATTTGGCAGAAGGCAGTAACTTCTCTGGGTTGGGGTGGGGGGTATGATAAACCTTCTAGGAGAGCTCTTTTACTGTGCCATTTTATAACACCCATAATTCTACGCAAGAGTTCCATTTCTTAAGAAAATAAAGGACATACATAACCCACAGTGAATGTAAACAGTTTTATTTAGAAACAGATAGGTACCTGTTTGCATTATAGAATATAAAACTGGGTTTACACTCTATAAAAAATAACCAATATCCAAATTCAAGAGAGCTAGCATTCACAGAACACACAATGTGGGTGTGCAGCTACTGTTCACCAGTCTCAGGCTTGATTTAAACCAAAAGAAAAAAAAAAAAATCCAGGGGGATCATTAGAGATTAGAGTACAATGCTTACTGATGAGCACCCAGCATCCAGAAGTTGCTGTCTTAGCAGATGGAGGTTTGCTTTCTAGGTGCGTGACTTTAACATAAGGCCTGGGTTCTCTGTACCTAGTGACCTATGAGGATCTCCTGCCACACAATTCATGATATGCCCTCTCCAAGCCAGGGCTGGTGGGCATTATTAATTATCCCTGATCTTCTTAACAATAAAAATGGGGAATCTGGAAGGCAGAGAATTTCCACTCCCTTATACTGGGGTTAAAAGAATGTATCCACTCTCAAGAGCTCAATGCTAAAGGCTGGGGTGGAGTTACAGGATATCTGGCTTTTTACCAGGCCACGTAGCCCACCTCAACATGATTGTGGAAGACCAAAGGATACACCTAGGTTCAGATTATAATAATCACCCAGCACCACCTGAATGTATTATCCAGAAAGATATATGAAATAATAACGGATATATATATATATATATATATATATATATATATATATATTTGTCTTAGTAACCTGAGGGCTAAAAACTTGGAATATAATAATTCTTCTCAAAAGAGGTCCATCTGTATGAAAGGGACCAAAAAGGACAGTTTCCTGTTATGTAAAATATAGGTAAAGTGAGTTGGGAACAGAGGTGGTTTCTTCAGCTCCTTCTACAATGTCCCTCTCTTTGATCAGGGTTGGCCATGTTGATTCATGGTAAACTTTTTTTTGGCAGTGGGGAGATGGGAACATAGGGAGTGATGGGTCGAAGACAGGAAGGGTGAGCGATGGTCCTCAAACCAAAGAGCCCTCTCATCTTTGAGTCTTAGCTCAAGCTCTCCAGCTGACACAGAAACAGGCCTGGTAGTAAGTGGTTAGCATTCTGAGGTATGAGGATCCCTGGTAAATTGAGCAGCATGTGGTTTTTGGAAACCAGCCCACAAGATAAGAACACTGCAACCAAGCCCCTAACTAATACTGCTATTTAACCACCGTCCAAAGGAGAAAGGAAAGAAAAAAATCCCACCACACTAGGAGGTTCTAAGCTTTCATTTAAGGTGGTCCAAATAATCTTCTCTTTATTTTATCTTCGAGTTTCTTAAGAGAATCCTCATTCAGTGATCATTTCTCTCATTAAAGGCACTTTCAATGACATGATTGGAAAGGAGTACATTTTAACTGCAGTGCAGATTAATTCCTTGGAACACCTGGGGAAATAGGAGCTGAATGGGGGCACTTACAGTGATTCAATAGGCAAGACAGTCTTGAGCACTTCAATGGATGCAACCCAGAAAAAAGCATGTGCCCTAAAAACACTTGTATTTTTCCTTTAGTTTTCCAGCTGTTTCTATGTATAGCTCTGTAAAGAGATCACATTCAGTACTTGATTTTCAAGACAGTGGCCCCAACTCTTCCCACCACAGCTGTGCTTGACAAAATTAGCAAACAGCTAGTCTTACAGGGAAGGAAAAAAAAGAATGAATGAAATCAAGTTGAGCCAAGCTTTCTTACAGCACAGGGATCGGTCCTTGCCCAGACAATGCCAGAACCTGGACTTGGAGCAGCTGAATGAAATATTCGGCCCCTCCTACTTACGCAGGATACTTTTCAATAGGCAAGTTTAAGTGTTATCTCTCTAAATATAAATTGTGGGGACTATTTCTTCCCTCTTCTCTCTCTTGAACATTTCTTATTGATCTCAGGCTTAAAATTAATTAACACAGAATTATAAAAATTATATGATAAGGGTTGAGACAGAGTGAAGGGCTAATGTTTGCCTACAAAGTGTGAGTTGAGGATCTTGATCCTTCATATCATACTCCCAACCAGAGAACAAATACAAAAATAAACACACATGTTATACATAATACAAAGTGTAAATCTACAAACACAAGTGTACTAATTAGAGTTTTTCCTCAGAAGCACAGTTTCCTTCCAGTCCCTCAGAGAGGAGGAGGAATGGGGACGGGATTTTTAAGACAGCTTTTCATGTCTTAAAAAGTTTGTAATAACAGTCTCAGTAGCGCAAACAATTTCATGTGAAACCAGAAGCTGTAAAAATAAATTACTTTTGAAGAAATGTAGGTTCCTCTGTCTGCAGCTCAGAACTCGTCATGTCGTACTAAGGCCTCACCAAAATCTGTGGCCTGGCTGCCCACAAATAAATCATATTTGTCAACAATCTCCTCCTTGGTAAGCTTGCCATCCTGAAAGTAGAGAGAACAGTGAATTGATGCAAAATATACTTCTTATTTCAAATTTAGAACATTGTTAACATACAACAGGGGTTAGTCAAGATTTACGATTCTAATTCCCACTAAATTAAATGTGAACTCAATCCTCACTGCCCACCCCCAACACACACACACACACACACACACACACACACACACACACACACACACAAAAAGAGGGAAGTAAACAGCAGTTGATACATTTTTCTTATCAAGGAAGTTAAAAGTGGAAGGATGGAAATAATATAGCTCAATAGCTCAATGCTAGGGATATGGGTTTGTTTTTTGAGAAGAAAACGCTCCCTTTCGAGCAAAATGTGGGACATCTCCTAGATATGGGTAAGAGATAGTCAAGAATAGCCAGGAAAAATACTTCAAAGTGAATCAAGTCTTTGTCTAACAGGAACAATGAAATATGCTAATATCAAGCACAGTCTTCAATTCCAAAATGACCTAGTCACCAATCAGATTCCAGACAGAACCCCAAATGAAGGCTCAGATACTCATCTCAAGAATTATCTACGCTAGATTCCCAAGGGATGACTACATGAGTTTCCTTTCCTCACATGTCTCAGGACACAGCACCTGGCTACTGAAGTGACTGAGCAAGAACTCAAAACAGACTGACCCTCAAAAAGGCTCAATAAGAAACTGCATTAGGGGCCTCCCTGGTGGCGCAGTGGTTAAGAATCCGCCTGCCAATGCAGGGGACACGGATTCCAGCCCTGGTCCGGGAAGATCCCACATGCCGTGGAGCAACTAAGCCCATGTGCCACAACTACTGAGCCTTTACTCTAGAGCCTGCGCGAGCCACAACTACTGAAGCCCGTGCCTAGAGCCTGTGCTCCGCAACGAGAGAAGCCACCGCTCACCACAACTAGAGAAAGCCCACGCGCAGCAACAAAGACTCAACGCAGCCAAAAATGAATAAAATAATTTAAAAAAAGAAAAAAAGAAACTGCATTAAAACCGAAGATCAGTCTAAATAAAAGAACATTTAGAATTCTAGAATCCCCCAACTTTAGACTGATTTTCAGTTTGCTCTAAGGAGAGCATTCAAATCTCTGAAAAAGGTGACAGGGCTCAGTAGTAACACCACTCTTTTAATGAACTGAATGCCTTCTCAGATAATTGATCAAGTGTAATTTTAACAGGTTTCAGAGAAAAGCTGATTTATAAGCTCCTACAAATGACTTAATTTTAAATAGCATATTTGATTTAAGAAGGAAACAACCAGCTTTGAGTAGGCAAAATGAGCATGTAAAAGATAAAAGAACAGGGCTTCCCTGGTGGCGCAGTGGTTGAGAGTCCGCCTGCCGATGCAGGGGACATGGGTTCGTGCCCCAGTCCGGGAAGATCCCACATGCCGCAGATCGGCTGGGACTGTGAGCCATGGCCGCTGAGCCTGTGCGTCTGGAGCCTGTGCTCAGCAACGGGAAAGGCCACAACAGTGAGAGGCCCGCGAACCCCCCCCAAAAAAGATAAAAGAACAAAGGAAATAACAACAAAAAAGCAAAGATTTCTTGGGGTTCCAAAGATAGCAGATGATGCATGCTGGGCACAGGCTGTATCCAGAGGCTCTTTCTGAGGCCTAAATTTCTCCAATGCTGGGAACATTGGGCAAAGGGATTTCTAAAATAAGATCAGAGAGCTAGAGCTGCCCTGTAAGTTTTCAATCGCCAACTTTAGATCCATAGCAGAATCAAACTAATTAAGGCCTTAAATGCTCTATGTACCTCAAAAGGAATTTTTTAGGCAATCCCCTAGAAATAGACTTTGATCACTGATAGATTGTTTGGGCCTGGACAGACTTACCTTGTTTTGGTCGGATTCGTAGACTAGGTGCCTGGCTTCTGCCTCTGCATGATCATAGTCTGAGGGAAGGATCCAGTCTTTGGTCTCTTCCTTATCCATCTTCCCATCTCGGTTCTTATCTCGAAACTCAACAAATTGTTCTCTCTCAGTCTTTACCCATTCTGGCTCATCAGCATTTCCATCATGGCTGTACATGTCACCTGTGTGAATACATGTCCATACAAAAGATGAGTTTGTCTTTTCTCAAAGACTGCCCCATGCAAATCTGACCTGACCCTTTTTCCTCATTCATCAGTTTGGAACCTAATAGCAGTTATAAGGGTATTTTAGGTCAGAGAGACCTTAAGAAGCAAGGAGTTTTCCTGATGTGTGATTATTGATCTTGCAACAAGAATATTTCCAGCTGTTGGTCTTGAATGATATGAGAGCAAAGAGAATCCTTTAAAAAAAAATGCAGAAACAAAGGGAGATGGCTGGCGTCAAGAAAGGTGAAGACCAGGACTTCCCTGGTGGAGCAGTAGTTAAGAATCCGCCTGCCAATGCAGGGGACATGGGTTCAATCCCTGGTCCAGGAAGATCCCACATGCTGCGGAGCAACTAAGCCCACGTGTGCCACAACTACTGAGCCCACGTTCCACAACTACTAAAGCCCATGTGCCTAGAGCCCGTGCTCCGCAATGAGAGAAGCCACCACAAGGAGAAGCCTGTGCACCACAACGAAGAGTGGCCCCCGCTCGTTGCAACCAGAGAAAGCCGGCGCAACAATGAAGACCCAACACAGCCAAGAATAAATAAATAAATAAATTTCTTTTTAAAAAAATAAATAAAAAGAAAGGTAAAGACCAACTTTCTTCATAAGATAGTTGTTCCCTACATTCCATTTCACTACTAATTAACCCGACCACTAGTTTTAGAAAGATGTGGTTTTAAATCCTAAAGAAAACTTGAGAGGTCTATAAGTCAAACTGTCCACCAACCAATTACAGAGTATACTTTTTTTTTAAGTATTTAAAAAAAATTTTTTTTGGCTGCGTTGGGTCTTTGTTGCTGTGCGTGGGGTTTCTCTAGATGCGGCGAGCAGGGGCCACTCTTTGTTGCGGTACACGGGCTTCTCATTGCATTGGCTTCTCTTGTTGCAAAGCACAGGCTCTAGGCGCACGGGCTTCAGTAGCTGCAGCAAACAGGCTTAGTAGTTGTGGCTCCCGGGCTCTAGAGTGCAGGCTCAGTAGTTGTGGCGCACAAGCTTAGCTACTGTCAAAATTCTTTTAGGGATTACATGAGTGAAAGTCTGAAGACTCCTAAATTACACTATATCAAAGTAAGTGTACATGCATTTCATGTAAGGTATGGGAACACACCTAATATAAGTCTAAATAACTTCTAAAGAGCTATTTACTTGTGATAAAAGTAATTTGTGGGGTTTCCCTGGTGGCGCAGTGGCTGAGAGTCCGCCTGCCGATGCAGGGGACGCGGACTCGTGCCCCGGTCCGGGAAGATCCCACGTGCCGCGGGGCGGCTGGGCCCGTGAGCCATGGCCGCTGAGCCTGCGCGTCCGGAGCCTGTGCTCCTCAACGGGAGAGGCCACAACAGTGAGAGGCCCGCGTACCGCAAAAAAAAAAAAAAAAAAAAGTAATTTGTATGTTGGGACCCATAAAATGAAGGCTGCCCCAGTGGCCCGGCCCATGCCACAAATCTAAACCTAAGCCAGCCCACACTGCTAAGAAAACCTAACATAAAAAAAAAAAAAAAGAAAAAAAAAGAAAACCTAACGTATAGCAATCACAACCCTCCAGCTCAGCTTCAGTCAACTTACCTTACCCTTAGAAAAGATGACCTGCTATCTTTATAAGGAAATCCCTGACCTCCTAGCCAATCATGTCCTGCATCCGAGTTGCCCTTCTAATGTTTTATAAAGCCTGCTCTTGCCCAAAACCCCCTAGGAAGAATGCTCCACTGCTTGTGAGGTACTTTACTCCCCCAATCCATGGATTGTTTTCCCTTGAATAAAGTACATCAAACTTGTTACTAAATTCTACTATTTCCGGCATTTTACCGTTGGCACTGTCATTTTCCTGAACTTGAGGGTTAAGAGTAGAAACTACTCCTTTCTGTCTTAAACACAAATTGGGAGTCTCAGAGCAGGTCTTGCCAATTCTTTTTTCACGTTACAGCACATTCAGAAAACACAGTATTTGTAAAATCCACTGGCCAGCACCCTGTCCTAGCTGTCCTGAGGGTCAGGGAGACCTTTCACTGTATACAGATTGGGAAATTCTGAATTAGGGAATACATGTGTATTAGGAAACGCACGTTACGAAAACGTGCGTTTAAAAGACATTTTTCTTTCTTTCTTTTTTTTTTTTTTTTTAATTTGGGCACACCACATGGCATCCGGGATCTTAGTTCCCCAACCAGGGGTCAAACCCAGCCCCCGCAGTGAAAGTGCCGAGTCCTAACCACTGGACCACCAGGGAATTTCCTGAAAGACATGCTTTTAATAGAAGCTAGAATATACAACGTAATGTAAGTGCATCTTAAAGCTAGAAGAGTAAGGATAAGAATTAATACTATTTAATTTTCTATTAAAAAATTCAACCTGGGCTTCCCTGGTGGCGCAGCTGTTGAGAATCTGCCTGCCAATGCAGGGGACACAGGTTCGAGCCCTGGTCTGGGAAGATCCCACATGCCGCGGAGCAACTAGGCCCATGAGCCACAACTACTGAGCCTGCGCGTCTGAAGCTTGTGCTCCGCAACAAGAGAGGTCGCGAGAGCGAGTGGCCCCCGCTCGCTGCAACTAGAGAAAGCCCTCACACAGAAACGAAGACGCAACATGGCCATAAATAAACAAACAAACAAACAAATACAATTAAAAAAATTCAACCTATATAATGATATTAAGGAATTACTAATTTTTTGAGATTTTATTTAAAAATTTTTAGAGATACATATGTATATTAAGAGAGATATAACCAAATGTTTACAGATGAAATGAGATGCTGATTGGGATTTACTTCAAAATAATAGAGGAGGTAAGACGTGGATATGGATTTAAAAGGATTGGCCATGGGTTGATGGCTGCCGGGACTGGGCCTAAGTACAGGGGATTCATTATACTATTCTATTTAATTTTGTGTATGCTTGCAATGCTGTATAATAAATTTAAATGGTTCAACAGTATAACTCTGGGGACTTATTAATGCTAAATGTAAGAGGCAAAGACCATTTGTTTCTTTTTGATCCTTCCTCTCAACAGGGCAGAAACTAGCATACCCCTAGAAACTGGAAGATGCTGTCTGGGAGACTTTTTAGCTTTACAAAGCCCAGCACCCAAGATGTAAAAGTGTTTGCATTAGTTGATGATTTGCAAAACAAAGTCATACACACACAGTTGATAGTTTTAGTAGTTTCAAGAAACAATTGATCTATATGATGGGAGGGAGATAGAAGTATCTCTCTATTTGGCCCCAATGCTTGATAAATGATGGTACTTAACTGTTATAAAACTTAATTCCTCTCAAGAGGTTCAAAATGAGCTCCTCCGTTTTAGCAATGGTGATAAAATGGCAAAAACCAAGAATTAAAAGATAAAATATTAAAAAAAAGAAACAGTCGACTTTGAAATGGGCTCAGTAAATGCACCCAGGCATTTATTTCCACTGTGCTGATGAACTCCACTAAAAAAATCATTTTGGAAAAAATTTCCATCTTCCCACTGCTTACCCCTCTCAAAGTACATCAGGGAGTCTTAGAAGAAAAGAGTATTCAAGGAGTAATTCAACTGGAATAACTCTAGAAAATAAATAGCAGGTATAATTAGACAAAATTTGAGTAAAGGAGTGACTTGTTCAATGGACTGAAGTGACATACAGGGATAGAGGTAAGGGCTTAAGTCTCCCTTTCACACTTAAAATAAACATTCCAGGTAAAGATCAGAAGCCTAAAAACAAACTGTCTTATGAAACACAAAACCAGTGGTGCACTAGAATTAAGTTACTATGAGTAAAAATAATAATTGGAAATATAAAATTATCTAATATCTTTTAAAATGGAATAACATTTGTAACAAAGATATTTGTAGTATCTTCCATCTCTTCTCCTTGACTTATGCTAATTTCCATCACACTAATTGTGAAACAATTTGCTCAACTACTTGCTAAGAGGCAGCTCCTTTTTTTAAAGCAATGGGAAAATCTTGAAATTATTTTGAGGATAATAAAGATAGCTTTAGGGACTTCCCTGGCAGTCCAATGGTTAAGACTCTGCACTTCCACTGCAGGGGGCATGGGTTCGATCCCTGGTTGGAGAACTAAGATCCCACATGCTGCACGGCATGGCCAAAAAAAAAAAAGCTTTACTTGAGAGAAAGGTATAGCATCTAAAATAAACAGACAACTTGAAGGTATAGTAGCATCTAAAATAAACAGACAACTGGGAATTCCCTGGCAGGCCAGTGGTTAGGACTCCAAGCTTTCATTGCTGAGGGCAAGGGTTCGATCCTTGGTCAGGGAACTAAGATCCCACAAGCTGAGGTGTGGTCAAAAAAGTAAAAAAAAAAAAAAAAAAAAAAAAAAAAAAAAGGAAAAAAAAAAAAAAAAAAAAAAAAAAAAAAAAAAAGAAAAAGGAAAAGAAAACAAACCAGACAACTAAAAGGAAAAATGGCAGAAAGGAGTGATTTTTAAAAAAAGACGAAAGGAAACAAATTAGAGAATCTAGACAGAAAACATGAATAGAATACAGCGAAAAGGAAAGACTAAGAGGAATCAACAGCTCTTAGTCACCCAACTGTCTCTTTTGTCCTATTTCCGTTTCCTAATGCCAGTCTAGGCTCCCTGCAACTCCTTACTGTCAATTCCCCAGGGCATCTGGGATGCACTATTTCAGTGCTGTCCACTACAGTAGCCACTGGCCACATGGGGCTACTGAGGACTTGAAATGTGACTGGTCCAAACTGAAATGTGCTATAGTGTAAAATAAACTTTTGAAGATTTGTAGGAAAAAAAACCCTCAATGATTTATATTGATAACATGTTGAAATTATAGTATTTTGGAATCTTAGGCTAAATAAAATACACTATTGAAATAAATTTCATCTGTTTCTTTTTATTGTTTTTGATGTGGCTATTAGAAAAGTTAAAATTATATATGTGGCTCACATTTACATTTTGATTTGCCAGTGCTGCTACAGACACTTTATCATGACCCCCTATTCCTCACACTGGTCTGACTTAATGATGTGCTGAGAGTTGACCCATGGGATAAATTGTTTCTATTGGTGAACATATCTTCCAAAGCTTCTCAGCTTCTTCTAAGAAAAACACTAGAAACAGACTTACCAATATACTCCTCCAGATCAATGAAACCATCAGCATTCTTATCTATATCTTCCATTGTTTCCTAAACAGAAGAGGGTAATTAGACTTAGTATCTGGATGAGTTAGTTTAGGCAATTATTTGTCATTCATTAAAACACACACACACACACACACACACACACACACACACACACACACGTTTATGTAGATGTGTGTGGGTATGGTTAATCCATAGGAAATTGTGGTTTTTCTAGCTGAAAGAATGGTAAAATATTATCAATTTTTTAGCTTCAGCTTAAAATAACTAACAGTCTTCTTGAAGGAACACTTAATAGTGAACTACCCCATCAAGCCCATGATGATCTGGTAGCTCTAGTCATGCTTAACTCTTAATAGGACCAGTTACATCTACAGCTATAGTCTATGTTTTATCAGTAACTGCCTTCTGTGAAAATTCTTTAGTATCACTGTCATTACTCAGTGCCTGATATTTTAAAAAATAGGATTTCCCCTCATGCTTACAGTACGAAGCCACCAATGAATGACAAAATACATAATCTGATGGTACGTATTGTCATACTAAACAGAAAGCTTAAAGCACCATCGAGATCACAGAAAAACAGAGTGACAGAGCTTGGACTCAATCTGGCCAGCACCTGTATAGCAAGTCATTCTTCTAAATACAGAGGAAAGGCTAAAGAGGAAAGCATAAGCAACAAAAAGAGAAAGTTTCCATTGAGAATCCTTGCTCTCATCCCACCCACCTGTACTACTATATCCTTCATGTAGTCATACTCCTCAGGGTGCAGGAAAGCTGTGAATTCCTCCTTTGTGGCAATGAGGTCTCCATCCTTGTCTGCCATTTTAAACCTCCGCTCATCTCTAACCATCATCTGTTTATAGTTAAATCCATCATCAGGGTCTGGATCATCTAGAAAAGAAAAATTTAGGTCAAATCTTAAAAGACGTCCAGAAAACATGAAAATGTATGGGGAATCAATTTCCAAGAAAGATAAACCAAGCACTGAAGAATTCTTGATTACTCAGGTAAAATTGCAGCAGTAAAAAGACATTCAGTTTTGGTAATCAAAGACCTCAAAATCAGGTCTGAGTTGAATGCAAATGCTTGCCATTCAACATGGAACCCTGGCTCCTGGACTATGTAATCCGTTATGTAATGCTTCACTGTCACTGTTCTTGGGGCAACCAAAGAGCTTGAGTTTTCTAGATATATCCAAGGGGCAGCGGTGGTTCTAAAGTCATACTGAGTTTGAATCCTAACTCTACCACTTCTTAGCCATGTGACCTTGGGCAAGTAACTTAACTGTCCTTCAATTTACTCATCTGTAAAATGGAGATAATAACAGTGCTGGCCTCATAGGATTGTTATGAGGCTAAATAAGCAAATAAATAGAAGTTAAGTGCTAGAACAGTGCCTGGCACAGAGTTGGCTTTTAATAAACGTTAGCCATTGCTATGTTGATTAAACATTAGGTTCTCATTAAAAAGCCAGATATCAGGAATTCCCCGGCAGTCCAGAGGTTAGGACTCTGAGCTCTCACTGCCGGGGGCCTGGGTTCAGTCCCTGGTCGGCAGAACTAAAATCCCACAAGCCGCACAATGCAGCACCCCCCTGCCCCCCACAAAAGAAGCCAGACATCAAAGGCCTTCTATCCCATTATAGGCCATCTGGATTCAAGTACCAGAACACCACCACTTTGAATGGTCACACTTTAGTTTTTTAAGCCAACTCAGAAATACAACATGAGATACAAATACTGTTCACTACCCCCCCTCCCCAATTTTTGTAAAATTCTAGAAAATGCAAATAAATACGAGTTACAGAAAACAGATCAGTGGTTGCCTTGAGGATTATAAAGGGACACAAGGAAACTGTTTGGGGTGATGGAAATGTTCATTTATTTCGATTGTAGTGATGAGCTCACCGACACATACATCTGTCAAAACTCATCAATTGTGCATTTTAAATATGTGCAGTGTATCATATGTCAGTTATACTTCAATAAAGCTGTTACAAAAGATAAATATTAGATTACAACCAAATTAAATTTGGATTTATCCATCTGTTAGGATGTTGAACTGCACAAGCAGTAGTTATTTAGTCTCTCTGTAAGAATCTAGAAAAATGAAATTTTGTTTCTTTAAGTTGAAAAAATGTGGAGTTAATGGCAGAAAAGGAAAAAAAACCCTTTTCAATCTGAGTTGCTGTATGGACCTAATAAGGTAACATGTGAAGATATTTTGAAAGGAAAAGACACCATATTAAAGGTAAGAAATGACTGTTCCTACAACATATTGGTCAAATTTTTTAAAAGATACAGCACTAGTTTTATAAAAATGACCCACAGGGTCCCTTAATAACATTACACTGCTGACTTCCGATACTGTAGTTCAATCTTTCCATACTTTAAGCACAGTTAAAAACAACAACAATAAACTACTGTTCTATTTTGAGAGATGAGCAAGTTGAAGCTTCATTCTTCATTGAGTGTCAAAATTCAGTGAGACAGCTGACTGAATCATGAGGCTTTGCGGACCCTATACGTGTATACTCAAAGCCGAAACAGATTAGAGACAAGGAATTTAAGGAAAGTACGATCTTTCTCAGATAATAAGTCATTTCTTCTAAACAAATAAAGCTTCAGTACAAACTATGTAACATAAATAAGAAAGATAACAGAAGACAACTTATATATTAAGAGTAGATTCTTAGCTAAGAGCCCTTCTCTCCTCCTTAGTTAAACCATGGTGACTGGAATCAAGTAGCCCGATAACATGCACATATATAAGGATGAAAAAGGAAGCTTTAAAACTTTATTTTTATAAACTTTATTTTGAATGACTAAACTCATGTGCCTATCATCCCTGCTCAGAGTGCCATTATCTGTCTTAAGCACCAGTTTACTGGGCTATCTGGCCTGGGTAGGTTCTTGATCTAGTTTTGGTATAGGCAGGGTGGATCGTATTATCTCATATTTTACTTGTGGCAGAGACAGGGTTAATGTTCCTTTTGTGGAAAGCAGACTAAAAGCTAAAATGATTTGTACCTGAACTCAGTTGAACCAAGAACACGGTTTCACAAAAACTCCTCAGCACTTTTGTAAGGCACCTCATTACCCCGAGTACTGTCCAGCCACAGACCTCCAGGGAAAGATGCCTTATAAAGACATTGTTTCTCCAGCCAGAGCTTCAGCTTATGCAGTCTCAGTCAGTAGAAATACCCATTACATTGAATCATTTGCCCTGTGAGGCAACAAAGCTCTCAACACATAATCATACAAAGAGTTTAAGATTCATTCTGGACAGCAAGTGAGTGACTAGGTCTGAACTGAGATTTATTAACACACCATTCTATTGAGATCACCAATAGCCTACCCACTGCTTTACATTTATAATTAATTCCAAATAAATCAGAGGGTATTGGGTCTCAGCCAGAGAGCAAGAAGCATGGATGCCTCTCTATATGCACTGACTTTTTAATACACATATTTTTAATTGGGTGAAGGATATGTTTGGTTCTTGGGTTAGTGTCAAGCGTAGAGAGAGACTGCCACTCTAGTCTTAGGAATGAGAACAAGGCCGATACAGAAATAAAAATCTGTTCAACAGAAATGCATGCAGTCCTTTAATTAACACGGACAGCTGGCTATCCAGTGGGGGAAACAGACCATCATACACTCACTGCTTGTTAGTTGGTGATGGAGAATGCCTGCTTTAACCCAGAAATTTACTTAATTTCCAGAATAAAAATGCAAGAAGTAACATTGATACATTCTTGCCTCAAACTGTAACCATGTGCAATAGAGGAATCTCACTAACAAAAACACCCTAAGTCATCAACTCAGTAAGATCGCCACCTAGCATTCAACAGCAGGCAAGTGTAATAAGTAAAAGAAAATTACTAACAGGTGGCCCAAGCATACAAGCTACCAAATCAACAGAAAGCAATCAAAGTCACATTTATTTGCCTTGAAGCATTTGCAAAGCAGGCTGATAAACTCATATGCCAGAGAAAACAAATGGGAAATAATTCATTTCTAAACTTCAGTAAGCAGACATACTGAAATAGTTAAATTTCATCAAGGAAAGCTATTATATTTGATCTTTATTTTATTAAGGAAAAACAGTAACTTTCCTTCTATTCTCACCAGTTACAAAGAAATCTAATTTGGTTTGAATTTCAGGTCCAACACTTTAATGTGACCATGTCAGGCTTTGAGACATCTCAAAGCCTCTTGCTTTGCACTGTTGGAACAATGCAGCCTTTTAAACAAGATCTACTACAAAAATGGTCTCTCTGAGGGATGACAGCAAGAAAAAATGGGGAAATATATCTGAAATGCTAACGATGTTAAAAGATGTCAGACCTTAGAAAACCAAAATAAAACAAATTTTAAAAAATACATAATATACAACTTCAAAATTAATAAAGGGAAGGAGAATCAGTTCAGCATCAAACTATCTCAGATAAGCATAATTTCTTCCTTTCCTTCACTGTGTGACCCATTTGTTTCTTTGACTCAAGACCATGGTCTCTGCCAGGCTGACATCTTGCCCCTTACCGAGGTAAGTGCCATAAGTCACGTTTCTGTACTCATCCCAGGAGATTAAGCCGTCTTGATTCAAATCAAACTCCTGCCATTGGTTTTCAACATTGTCATATATGTATTTCTTCTGGGCGTGCTTAATCCAGGATTTCAGCTCCCCCTCCGTCACAAACCCATCTTTATCCGCGTCTATTTTATCTACAATCATTCTACAAGACAAAACAGTTACGTTTCAAGGTGCCGGCTCCACAAAGCTTTTTCCCCCAGATAGTAGGGACCTACCTAAAACGTAGCCGTAGGTGGCATTTTTATACTCTTCCCAGGAAACGAGGCCGTCCTCATTGAGGTCATGCCCCTTCCACTGTCGCTCTACATCCTCGTAAATCCAGCGCTTTTGTGCAAATTTAATCCAGTCTTTGAGCTCATCCACAGTGACAAACCCGTCCTTGTCGCCATCTATTTTACTTACAATCTTTCTGTAGAAAATGCAGAGAAATCCAGCAAGAGGTTAAAAGGACACTAGGCTCTGGACTTAGCCAGGTGTGTGCTGTGGGCACAGGTGTTGCCCAGAGCTAAAGCATGGAAATAAAAATTGTTTCCAAAACAAAACTGCCAGACAGACCATTGAAAATTTTTCTCTTAAGTGCCCATTGCTGGTCTGAAATGAGCCATCCAGACAAGGCAAGCACAGTCCATGGCTGGTGTACTTGGATCCAAAAGTGAATCCGGACTATCCCTTTAGAGGTAGGTTTCAGCCGATGGTCAGAATTCAGGAGTGAATATCCATTCCTATCTGGGTTCTCCACTCTTAGCATCAAACAACACGCAAATCTTTGTGTTTTTCTTTATTGCTTTTACGAGAATCTCAATTTCTGGGTAAACAATCACAACAACTGACTTGGTTTTCTAAAAATTCAAAAATTTAAACCAGACTTTAAAAAAATTCAGCTGTGTTTTCAAAAAAAAACAACCAAAACACTTCTGTTAAAAATACAAAGATATCAAATATAGTTCTAGGATCACTTATACCTAAAGTCAAGATTACTTTTTTTAAAACCCCAAAACAGGTACATAGAGACAGAAGCATGCTTATTTTTAAAAATGGCTAGCAGTTTATTATACATTATGTTGAACTGGATTTTTATATATAACCACAAAACCAGAGAGCTCTGAAGAAGTAATGTAAGAACGTATAACCCTGATTATGAGAATGTTAATAAGCTGAGAGGGTTAGGGTGCAGATGATAAAGCAAAACTACAAAGCTAAAGAATCAATATACTTTGCCCTCCATGAGTTTCTTTCTTCTAGATCTGTTATGTTAATGACAGACATTTTTTAAATGATTTATTTAAGGATTTCAAAATATGTGCATGATATGAAAACTTCTGTTTAAAGATGCAGTCACTTACTTATAGAAGCTAAGACAGCCTATGTAAAGTCACAAGAACTTTAAATCAAAACTTCCAATGGAGGACTTCCCTGGCGGTCCAGTGGTTAAGACACCGTGCTTCCACTGCAGTGGGCACAGGTTCGATCCCTGGTGGGGAACTAAGACCCGGCATGCCGCACAGTGCGGCCAAAAAAACAAAACAAACAAAAAATCCCAACAACTTCTAATGGAATTGATATCTTGGCATACTCCTATGCTTTATTACTTGTAGGACTGAAAAAGACTGTCGTTTGGTAGCAAATAATGTTTTCCCCCAGTTTGTATTCATCTCATGAATACAACACTGGAAAGTGATTAGAATCACAGAATACAAGCAACACAAATTCATCTTGATATTGACATGCTGTTAGCCATGATTGTCTATTACTTAAATCTTATAATTAACAAGCATTTTCCTTCAGAGAATCTTACCGCTTTTGCTCTAAAATGTTAAAAGGTAAAGCAGTAAGAAGTCACCTCAAATATCCTCCTCTATCTACATGGACACGGGACAAAAATTTTTTGCAACTTGTACCTGTAGAATCTTAACAATATTAATAAATTAAGTTTTAACTGCCCCCAAACTTCTGCATTATCTATAATGGGATCCAGTTTGTGTCCGAAAGGTATTGGCTACCAAGACTGCCACTGTACCATTAAGAAAAAAAGGGCAAGGTACTTATTCCCGAAAGAAAATTTTAAACTATTATAAACAGCCTAAAGAGAAGGAACACTCAGATAAAAAAGGCATCTGACTGTTTAAGATGGGCTTTTCCTAATGAAGTTGGCTAAATGCCATTCTATTCATCCCAACAGAAATATCCCAAATGGTTTAATTCAGAGGTTAGCAAACTTGTTTTGAAAAAGGACAGATAAGAAGAAATTTTCACTTTGTGGGCCACACATGGTCTGTCACATATTTTAAAAACAACAACAAAAATAACCACAAAACCATTTAAAAATAAAAAAGCCATCCTTATCTTGCTAGCTATCCAGCCTGCAGGCAGTTGTGAAAGTACATTGGAAGTGGGCATGTCCTATTTTAGGCATGAAGCTCTAAACTCCGGTCTTTGAAAGCCTGTGTAAATTTATGAAGCTAATCGTGTTATATTTTTATGATACTGGAGAACCCTACAGATCCATGATGCCACTAAATAAGCACTCACTCCAGGACAGACACAATGTACCTAGTGGATCTTATATTATTTCTAAGAGGTAACATATGCCTCTACATTTCAAAAGGCATCAAACAAATCCTCTGACTTCTTAAGAACCTGGGTCAATAAATGGGTTCCAGGAGGTTTCAAAATATTCCAGAAGTTTTCAGCATGCAAAATTTTATATATTTCATATGTATGCACTTTCCCTTAGCTTTCACTAGACTGCCAAAGGGACTGGGCCTGTGACCCAAAAAAGGATGATGAACTGCTCTAGTTCATTTCTACAGCAAATATGTCAAGGGTAAAAACTTTATTAAGGACCACCACCTCAAAATAAATAATCATTTGAAGGACACATAAATGAAAATTAAGTATATTTAGACTTCTTGGGGGTGGGGTTGAGAATACATACACAAGAAAAAATCTTCTATTTGTCAACATTCTTCATAAGAAAAAGCAACTAAAAACTGGATATTAAAATTGTTTTTAAGTGCTTCCTGAAGTCTTTTAGGTATTATAACTAAGGATTTTTAAAATAGTAGTGAATTTTTGCAACTAGAGGTATAGACAATGATCTTATCTCCTAATAATTACTGGCCTCATAGATAGATGGAAAAGGGGGAATCTGTTGTTCCCAACCTCTGATGTATAGTCACGTACCAAATAATGTTTAGAGATGCCACAGTAAGTTAAAAGAAAAAAAGTTCATCTGGAATTCTTTCTTGCAACAGTACATCACCTTATAAACTGGAAATATTTGCCATTATCTCCATTTTGGGAGAAGAAAATAGTACTTGGTTCATTCATACATTCCATGAAAAACATGATTTTAACCATCTTATTCTAATCAAATATGGAGTCGCTCATGTGTTGAACTTTTCATATTTACCGATGACAAAAAGAAACATTTTCTCTCTACTGAAGACTGTTAGCAGAGCTATTCCAGTACCTACACAGAGCCAGAACACCAAACCTAAGGGCCCTTCATTATTTAACAGTAATTCTGCACAGAGACATGTGCAGACCAAAATGTAGGCTGGACATGCACGTTATGCAAGACACGAAGACTGAGAACGCCCTCATGCATCCCTATTTTCAGCCTGGAATGTTAGCACAGTTATAAGATTAAAATTAAAAGTGAGCATGGTCCCTCAAAGTTAGAAAAACAACCTAACAGAAGACTACCTCTTTGATAAACTTCTGTTTTCTCTATCTACTTTCAAATGTTTTAGGAGTTTCTCATTCTACACAGCAAAATCTTTTGATTGTTTCTGTGAGTGTTTAAGAATAAAATATTATATCCTTCAGTTAGCAGAAAACCCGTTGAAAGAATAAATTTATTTTGAAGTACCACCCAAAGCAAATCCTATAACATCTTCTATCACAGCACTATCCATGGGCAAAATATTTTTGGAAATTCCTATGTGGTGTAACTTTTCAGACAAATCTCTTGAATATAGTTCAGAAAGTTACACCAATGGTAGCCTTTCATTGAGGAGAAAATGTTCACTGAATTAACCTGCATTTCCTTAAAAAGCAAGGCTTTGAAAGAGCTAAAAAAGACATTCTCAGATCCTCAGAAATAATCAACTGGAATTCTACCAAATCAACTCTTTAAATAAAAAGATGCCTGCTGAGAGAGCCACAGAACCTGACTATGGCCCAGCTGTTACTGAAATAGCAACACATACTCTGACATTAAGACCACTGCTTATTACAACCTTCTAAAAGGCAAGGTTGAGGGACTTCCCTGGCGGTCCAGTGGTTAAGACATCGCCTTCCAATGCAGGGGGTGCGGGTTCGATCCCTGGTCAGGGAGCTAAGATCCCACGTGCCTCACGGCCAAAATACCAAAACATAAACCAGAAGCACTATTTTAACAAATTCAATAAAGACTTTAAAAATGGTCCACATTTAAAAAAAAAAAAGCAAGGTTGGTTTGGTTTTGTTTTTGATTAAGCAAATATCTGACAATGAAACCAAAGAGGGTGAAGGACATCCTTGGAAACCATAAACTCTACAGAAATTAGTCAGTCCAGGAGTCTAATTTGAAGTTTATTATCTACTCAAAGACTTGGCATGGTCAGTAATAAATAGGTCACAGATAGTTTTTAAAAATTAAAAGCAACAGGTTCGAGAAAACCCCCATGTAATGTTCCTTTGGGGTCAAGATGATGCAGTTTAAGCTGAGTCCTATAGTATTTGGCAATTTTATGCATAAATGACTTTGCTTTGTAGAACGAGGTAAAAACTATTATTCAATGGAGAAATGCAGGAAAGCGCTTAATTAAATTTTAGTGGTAGCAATTCTGTGGTTAGTTTTCAGAAGATGTAGCTCAATACAGCTTTACTGAGTGACTGAGCCAAAAGAGAAAAAAAGAATGAGTTGATTTATAAAGAAATGTCATTATTCTAACTAGCTCCCTGAGAGCTGGCACCTTACCCAAGTCTTTCCTTGCTCTCTTCTGGTGTCAGCTGATCAAAGGTTTTTGCTTCTTCAGCACCCAAGAAGGCATCATGGTCATAATCAAAACTCTGAGCATCATTGTGAACTTTGTCACTGAGCTGAGGCTCATGGTGTACCCGGTCCTTCTTTTCCGTGGGCTTGCTCAAGGCAAAGGCTGTGCACAGGGACAGGCATGTAAGAAACTGTCGCAGGTCCATGATAATCAGATCTTAGAGAAAAAAGAAAGGTAGTTCATTCAGGAAGCAGTATGCTTAATAATGAAACAAGAAATTAAAAGCTCACATCCAGTTACAATATTAATTTGATATTATCCCAAATATTATTACTTAATCCATAAAAAAAGTATGGTAGAATATCAGACTTTCCAGTTTTACTCTGAGAAATATTCACCAGTTTTCTTCATCTGATTGTAGGCTGACAAGGAATTACAGGAACAAGGAATTACTAGGAACATCCACCTTGTAAGTGGTCTCACTTCAAAAACACCAAAGTAGAACTTTAATCCTTTTGCCCAAGTTCCTAAGATTTAAAAGTGAAAGGACCAAGATTTAAATCCAGACCTACTGACTCCAAATACTTTACCTTTGTACTATATCAGTGGTCTGGTCTTCAAACCTGGCTGGTTATTAGAATCACCTAGGAAGCTTTATTAAAAAAAAAAAAAAGTTTCCCCTACTGAATTAGAATCTCTGAGGCTGAACCCAGGCATTTGTAGTTTTAAATGGTTCCCAGGTGATTCTGATGGTTGTCAGATAAGAACCAATGATCACCTTCAAAGATCAAACCACTGAGATGGTACAGTGATGGATAACTGCCTTATCATTCTGTATACTTGTGTTTCCCAAACCTACCCAGGTATAAGAACCACCTGGAATACTGTTCAAAGTACAGATTCCCCAGCTCTACACTGTACGTTCAGAATCTCTGCAGTCACAGGTTATTCTGATGAACAAGCACAAGGCTGGAACACTTTATCGAAAACAGTGACAAAAAAATCGCAGAGAAGCTGCAGGATAGAAACTGTTTAGAACTCTTGACAGATAACCTATAGTACTGTCCAGAGAGGTTAAGGTTTTAGAGAAAACTGTAAAATTAAAAATCAAGGCGGGGGCGGGGGTGGGGGAGAATTCCCTGGTGGCACAGTGATTAAGAATCTGCCTGTCAATGCAGGGAACATGAGCCCTGCTCCGGCAAGATCCCACATGCCATGGAGCAACTAAGCCCATGCGCCACAACTACTGAGCCCTCGTGCCACAACTACTGAAGCTCATGCTCCTAGAGCCCATGCTCCCCAACAAGAGAAGCCACCGCAATGAGAAGCCTGCGCACCACAACGAAGAGTAGTCTCCGCTCGCCACAACTAGAGAAAGCCCGTGCACAGTAATGAAGACGCAACACCGCCAAATATAAATCAATCAATCAATCAAAAAAACCCCACAAAAAAACAAATCAAGGGGGGACTTCCCTGGCGGTCCAGTGGTTAAGACTCCATGCTGCCACTTGCAGGGGGCATGGGTTTGATCCCTGGTGGGGAACTAAGACAAGTGAAAGGACCAAGATTTAAATCCAGACCTACTGACTCCAAATACTTTACCTTTGTACTATATCAGTGGTCTGGTCTTCAAACCTGGCTGGTTATTAGAATCACCTAGGAAGCTTTATTAAAAAAAAAAAAAAGTTTCCCCTACTGAATTAGAATCTCTGAGGCTGAACCCAGGCATTTGTAGTTTTAAATGGTTCCCAGGTGATTCTGATGGTTGTCAGATAAGAACCAATGATCACCTTCAAAGATCAAACCACTGAGATGGTACAGTGATGGATAACTGCCTTATCATTCTGTATACTTGTGTTTCCCAAACCTACCCAGGTATAAGAACCACCTGGAATACTGTTCAAAGTACAGATTCCCCAGCTCTACACTGTACGTTCAGAATCTCTGCAGTCACAGGTTATTCTGATGAACAAGCACAAGGCTGGAACACTTTATCGAAAACAGTGACAAAAAAATCGCAGAGAAGCTGCAGGATAGAAACTGTTTAGAACTCTTGACAGATAACCTATAGTACTGTCCAGAGAGGTTAAGGTTTTAGAGAAAACTGTAAAATTAAAAATCAAGGCGGGGGCGGGGGTGGGGGAGAATTCCCTGGTGGCACAGTGATTAAGAATCTGCCTGTCAATGCAGGGAACATGAGCCCTGCTCCGGCAAGATCCCACATGCCATGGAGCAACTAAGCCCATGCGCCACAACTACTGAGCCCTCGTGCCACAACTACTGAAGCTCATGCTCCTAGAGCCCATGCTCCCCAACAAGAGAAGCCACCGCAATGAGAAGCCTGCGCACCACAACGAAGAGTAGTCTCCGCTCGCCACAACTAGAGAAAGCCCGTGCACAGTAATGAAGACGCAACACCGCCAAATATAAATCAATCAATCAATCAAAAAAACCCCACAAAAAAACAAATCAAGGGGGGACTTCCCTGGCGGTCCAGTGGTTAAGACTCCATGCTGCCACTTGCAGGGGGCATGGGTTTGATCCCTGGTGGGGAACTAAGACCCTGCATGCCGTGCAGTATGGCCAAAAAATAAAATTAAATTAAATTAAAAAATCAAGGGGAAAGAGTTTCCCAGGCTTTCATGTTTTAACTAATCCTTTATCAGTAGAACACAGATTCTGAAGGCTTCTCCCCTTGTGGTGAGTATAAACTTTTATAATTTCATATTATCACTTACTCATTTCCTCTTATGACCAGTGACTCCCTTACTGGATGGGTAGGTGGTTACTGGGCATGAGGCCTGTTGTAGGTTGAACTGTGTCCCCCCAAAAGATATGCTGAAGTTCTAATCCCTGGTGCCTGTGAATGTGACCTTATTTGGAAATAGGATCTTTGCAGATGTAATCAAGTAGGATGGGCTCTAATACAATGGCTGGTGTCTTTATAAAAGGAGGGAAATTTGGATACAGACACAGAGAAAAGAATGCCACATTATGAAAGAGGCAAAGATTAGTGATCATCTAGGAGCCAAGGAATGTCACTGATTGCTGGCAACCACCAGAAGCTAGGAAGAGGCAAGGAAGGATCCTCCCTTAGGGCCTTCAGAGAGCATGCCCCTACTACCACTCTGATTTCTAATTTCTAGCCTCTAGAACTGTAAGAGAATAAACTTCTGTCCTTTTAAGCAACGTAGTTTATGGTAATTTGTTACAGCAGCCGTAGGAAACTAATACAAGGCTACAGTACAGAGGGACACAGCATCACATGAAAGTTAAATGCATTATCTTGTCCTAATCTGCAGATTAAACTAGCCACAGGCTTCACCTTCCCCAGGATGTCACCAGTGGAACTATCTAATCTAAGGCTCATATTTTATATATAAAATTTTTTTTAATTATAAAAATTCTTTCAGCATTGCTTGTAACTCAGTGATCTCAACCTAGACTGTACCCTAAAATCACCTGGGGAGTTTTTATAAATGACCACTGAACTCCACCCTTAACCATAAATATTTTTAAAAGGCAGCCAGGCTGAGAACCAGTATTCTAACCAAATTCTCAAATGGCCATAATAATATCTTAAGAAATGTGACTTGAGAGTACACCTAATATGAAGAAACTGCATGTTATCTGATCCTGCCTCAAAGTTTTGGGAATTAGAAGAAAGTGAATTGTGTCAAGGGATAAAGAAATCAAATATGCCAATAAATTAGACATTTTAATGTATCCATCTCCTTGTAACCCCCAAATAGTAACTAAAAGAAGTTACATTGTATTTGCTTGGATTTACAAAGCATTTTGGATTTAATAAACTAAAAAATGCTTAGCACAGCTAATGGTGAGCACGTTACGTTATATAAAAATTTCTTAAAAGTGGAAGGAAAGCAAATAGAGGAATATGTTTAATGCTAACACAATTTAGCTGATTATACAAAGGCACAACCTGAGGCCTCCTTGAGTAACTTTCAGGCTGTAAAAGGGCATACAAGGGCACTATTTGTGTTCAATAGGAAAGCAGCTAAGTGGGGAGGTCCAGAAATGGCAGAGAAGGATATATCAATAGAGAGTAGAAAGTGTTCTAGAGTAACTAGGACAATGCCAAAAAGACAAACAGAAATGTTAGCTAAGGAGATAATGGGAGGCAGTCACTTCCCCAAGAGCCCATGTCAAAAACACACAAAAACGGTAATTTTGCTGGACAGTTGTTAAGACTGATGAAAACCCATCAGAGGAAACAATGTGGCAGCACTGCCCTAAGACCCACAGAGAAAGGGGAAGAAGGTGGTACTATTCTTAAACTGTTCACCAATGTTAGGACTTGGCTACGCTTCTGAAAGTTTATCAATGTTCTGTTTCGTGATACCTCATCAAAATACCCAAATTTGTATACAAAGACGCTTCAATTCAGATGTTCAATGATAACAGTTTATAATGATTTAAAAAAAAAAGGAAAATGAACTAAACCAAAGAAGTGGTAAATACATATTAAATCTATATTGTGGAACACAACACAGTTTAAGAAGAATGAAGCGGACCTATTTACTCTGAAACTGACAAAGCACCAAGATATGTTCAGTGAACAAAAACAACAATAAGAAAGCACGTTGTAAAACAATGTCAAGATCTCATTTATATAAAAAGCAAAATCCGGGCTTCCCTGGTGGCGCAGTGGTTGAGAGTCCGCCTGCCGATGCAGAGGACACGGGTTCGTGCCCCGGTCCGGGAGGATCCCACATGCTGCGGAGCGGCTGGGCCCGTGAGCCATGGCCGCTGAGCCTGCGCATCCGGAGCCTGTGCTCCGCAACGAGAGAGGCCACAACGGTGAGAGGCCCGCGTACCGCAAAAA